CCAAAAAATTCTGCTAAGCCTTGGAAAAAACATTAAAACTTATAAAATTAGTGACAAGTTCGTTGCACAACTAACGCAGTGGATGAGTGATGTCGCTGGTAAGTATTAGTTTTTGATTGACATTCAACAACAGCGCCATGTGTACCGCGTGGAGCAACTTCTCATGTCTGCAAATTCACTTACTTTCTTTGTGATATATTAAAACATTCATTTCTTTCTCCTAAGCTCTGAAGTCCTGAAAAAGCAACGTTTGCAAGTAGAGTGCGAGAGAAACGAGGCAAAATGCTCCCGACTAAGGCATCTTGAAACGGTTAAAATTTTGAATGTGCTTTGTCCAGAGAACTATTAAGGAGGGTAAGCATTTCAGGCAGCAAAACGTTGTGTTGGCTAGTATGCGGATCACACGGCGACGTAGCATTGGTCAAGTCAACGTAAGGACGAGGTTCTCAGTATGAACGAGGTTTTATGGTGGTAATGTTAAGAAATGTATACGATTTAACCGACCGAAACATATAATAATCTCAGAAATTTTCTAATTTTCACTCCTCACCTTCCTTTTTCTTTTTTTTTCCATTCTTTCCTGTTATAATTTTCTGTTGCCAGGTGCATAGCTGGGAAACTAGACTGCGAATTACAACTGATCTTGGTAAATATCCGAATTCTAAGGCATACGGCTATTCCAGACCCATACTACGACCATATCCACAAATAATTTTTCAGTTTTCTCAACTTCTGGCTTTCTTTGCTCTCAATAACTGCCACTGTTGCAGTATGTGGTAATTCAGAAATTTTTCCAGTCATCAACATCAGATTTCCTCAGTTGCCCTCATTATCACTCAAACTGTAATAATTCTTCACCCGCCCTCATTAATAACTCAGTTCCGGCCAATCTCACCAAATTTTCCTTTTTAAAAGTAAACTTTTGTGTCAGCAGGTAGTTTTCAGTGGCGTCTCGCAAGATTCAATCTCGAAATGTTCAGTCAGTAGGAGAGATTTCATTAATCTTCTGCTGATGCTAGGCATTTTGCGCTTGCGGGCCAAGAAGACAAGCCTTGTAGCGCTTTTCTCCGAAACATCCTTTTTGTTTGTATTTTCAAATTTTTTAATAAAAGTACACAAGGTGTTGTCCCTTTCTCAGCCTCCCGGTATTTACCTCAGCTGTGCATTTCCGATACTTAGAAAACTTATTTTTACTTGGCGCTGGGTGACTTCTGCACGATGTCCATCACCTCAATATTTTATAAAATCCAAAATCAAAAAAAAAAAAATCATAAAGTTCGTTTCACTTTCTGTAAAAAATGGAGTAAACGGATATTATGGTGGTTGTCTTCTCAGGACTACTGAAAAGCAAACCGAGGGCAATCCCGACTAATTGACATTTGCCAGCAATAATTTACTGTCGAGATAAATCAAGACCATGTATGCAAAACGAATGCGTAGGAGAAGGCATTATTTGCTCAGTAAATATTCCTTTACATCCATAATTGATATATGAAGAACGCATGTTCACATGCTTATCAAAAAGAAACTAACTTGCAGAGTACACTGATCGCTCGTTCGTACTGCCCTGTGAGCCACAGCGCTTGAAAATAAAGCAGAAAATTCCCATCACTGCCAACAAAATAACTTTCGCCTGAAATTTGACTTTGAAAACAACACCTTGAAAACACTAGAAATATTTTTTAGAAGTTTGTCGCCACTCAGTTTTTGCAATCATTTTTTATATTCTCTGCAAAAATTGGTGATTAAATGTATTAATATCAAAAAATCTAACTGCATCGGACGTATGGTAACGGCATACCAAGAAAAAAGTGTAAACAGTGGAACAACTAAACAAGAAGGGAGAAAAGGGGAGAGAGAAAGGGAAGACCGGATTCTTTTTCATCCGAAGAAACAATGAAAGCGCGATTGCTCCTTACAAATTTTTCTCGCTTTTCTTTCTTTTACTTTTCGTTTTTAATGAGAAAACAAGGAAAAATTTCTCAGAAATTGACTAAGTGGGCATAAATTTAGCTAGGATAACATAAAAAATATTTTTAGTCGACAAGGTGGTTTAGTAGTACAAACGTTCGAAATTTTTGAAGTGGCAACGCTTAATATATGTCAAAAACGTCTCAAAAAGCTAAAGCCTTCATAAGTTCATAGGGCAAGAAAAGTAATAGGTTGATAATCTCTCTAGGACACGAAACGAACGCCATGCTACTACGCCGTACGCCAAGGAATACAGCTCGAAAAATTGTCAACTGCGCAGCTGAAAAAATGGGCAAATTCTAATCAAGTACTCAGAGTAAGGGGGAGGTGCTAAACTGTGATAAAAAATTAAAAAAAAAAATAATGCGAAAAATCTCAAAATGAGGCATTTAGGGCAAACATAAGAAGTGGTTTCAGAACTTAGGTGCTTCCCTTTTTTTGACGTGAGAACTCAACGCAATACAACACACGGTCTCGACTGAAAACAGTTTTAAAAAAAGAAGTAAAAATTACTAAAAAAATGAAAAAACCGGTAAGAACTAAAATGAAATTACCGTAATCGAGAGTAATAAGACGCTGAAGCTCGTGAAAAACGCCAGGTGAAAGTGAGGGATCGACACTGCATGGATAGAGCTTAAGCCAAAGCCAATTTTCTAGATTTTCGCAAACTTCGGATACGTCGCCACCCAGTAATGCACAATAGACAGCCTTTTTGTAAACATCAGTGCAAGAGCGCAATTCACAACTCCATTCCGCCTTTACTTTCATCCTCATCTCCGCAGAAAGCCTAAAAACACAGTTATAAAGAATAGCGACATTTATACAACGAAAATTCACTGTTATCTGAAAAGTTATGCCCTCAGACCATTACTCTGAAAAGTCAAAACCCTCTCCATATCTTAACAGGGGATGGAGACACTCGGAAGTAACTCGAGTGGTAGCATCTTTCCAAAAATATTCACTCTCAAACAAGACTGTCGATGGATTCCTGTTTCAAGGAGTGCCTATTAGTAGGATGATTTCAACCCTTAGGTACCAATTTACCATCGAAACGAATGAATGATCTGTCCATAGATTGGGTGTCCAGCTAAAAGAGTTACACTTCCGGCTTCATAACAGCAGCACTACCTGACATTGTGTCACGACCGTTAGCTAACAGTAAATAATGAGTTAGCCAAAGAACAAGAAATTCTCTTCTAATTTTTGAAAGTTTTAGCGCTCAAAAAACTAATAAAATCCCATTTTTGATCACAAAAAATTATTGAAATTGTCCAAAACTTCGTTAAATTCAACACCAATTTAGAAAACCGATTTTTTGAAGAATGCGACAATCACTCTTCCACGAAAGAAAAAAAATTACTTTTTGGTATTTTCAAGTTCAATTAAAGCGACTGTTACAGCAGCACATGTCGGTAAATTCTGTAGATGTGAGTTGGCTATTTGTGCCACTGATTCCAACTCTCCGGCTCTCAGGCAATGATACACAACTTCCCATACTGGATGATTGTTTATACCGTAAACGCCATCCTAAAAAATAACACATTTCTCACAGATCCCATTTGGCAAAATTGGCAAAAATTGGCATTTTCAAGGGAACATTTAGTTAGCTCTGTTAATCAATTTTTCATTCCTATATGCGATAGGTCAAAAAACACATCGAATAGCGTAAGTATTACGCCTGATCGTGGCCAGAAGTGGCTACGCTCAGGAAGAAATGATGGTGCCCAATAGAGGACAACCCGTAACAGCAAAAATTAGATCAATAATTACTTCAGAACGCGAAACGAACGTCAGGATTGCAAGCAGAGTGACCATCGGATGGTAGCAGTGGTCAACAAAGCAACTGAAAAAACTGTTGACCTGCTAAGCTATGTATTATAGCTAATCGAAATATCAATTTGTTATGCAAATAATGTAAGAAGAATGATATAAACAAATTACAAATAGCAAAAATGCGGGACAAATGATGTGAACAGTGTATAATTATAGCGCAAAATTAAAGATTAGAGAAAATTCTATACTAAAAATTCAATATGAGGAAATGCCACCGTGTTGCTCAACTTATAAAAAAACTTTGACGCTGAGCCCGTATTGCTTTGAAAATTTCATAGAACATGCCTGAGTAGGGCGCTGCGTCGACTTGATGTGCTTGACATTCAAGAATGCGTCAATCAGAGATAAAGCAGTAGGATTTCCGCCTCGTCGAGCTGCTGCAAGATTACTTGCCACAACTGCCTCCATATGAGAGACGAAACTGCAAAAATATCACAATCAGTGAGGTCGAAATTTCCCTTAATGGACCGAAACATTCCTGTTCTTCTAATTTTTGGCATAATTTTACATTTTATAATTTTAATAATTTTACAAATTTTACATTTTTTTAAGTGTAGTTTTATATAATGATTAATATTTTTATTATCCCCACACCAGCATCCAACAATAACCCATAGAGGCAATAAGTCTGTGGAACTGATATTAGTGATGCTACTAAAATACAGTCATAATATGCCACCGGAAGCGATGCTAACCTCATTTGCGTAGTGTCTTCAAAAATCACTACAAAAAGCCATTTTCTCTTGCAAGAATGCCGCAAAATAAAAACACACTAGAATACAAATTATACTAATTGAAAAAAAAAATAAATAAATTCACTGATTTCAGCAAAAAAAACCTACTTTTTGTGCATGAATTCCAACGTGGAATCGACGACATGCTTCATCCAGGGGACTGACGAGCGAAACTGCTCGACGGATGTGCATGTCGATGCTGGGATGTTGCGTAGAGGAGCAAGCACTTGCTCCCACAGTGAGTGAATTTTGGTATCACGCGATCGCAATGATGCTTCCTTGAAGTCCGCCGCTAACTTTTTCGTATTTTTGTGCTTTATATAATCGGAAACCTGGAAAATACAACACAGATCGGTAACATGGCATAGCAGGCAAAAAAAAAGCAATAACTTTTCCCTTCTGAGAAATTTTAGATTATGATACTACTTTTCTACATGTTGATTCTATTAACTTCAAGAGTTTCATAAAATTTCTGAAATAAAGCTCAAAAATTTCATTTTATAATTTAATTTTAAAAGAAAAACTTATGGTTTTAAAATTCTTTTTTAATTTTTGCTCCCTGCATTACTATATTTTTTGACTATTCCAGGAAATCCAGGCATCTTTTTGAATTTGTCTTTAACAAAGATAATACTTCGAAAAAAAGGGGCAGCTTAGCTTCCCAACTTAATTTATAATTTATCTCATAATTAAGTATAATTTAAGACAGATTTTGATGACTCAGTGCTATGATTAAAAAAAATATTTTAACAGGATACAGGCATTAATTTAATTTTTAAAAACATACTGCATTGGCGAAGGCCAATTCCAGGCTATCAGAAGACAAAACCATGGTACTCGAAAGCGAACTTCCGCCCTGTAAAGCACTGTTTAAAACAAAAAAACAATACTTAGCGAGAAGAAATTTTTAGAAGCAAAGCAATATATTGGAATTCAACTAATCAGCCCAATTTGCTGATAATTATGCACATTTTGAACACAGAAAAACTACACCTAGACCATAAATCACAAAATAATTTGTGAGTGACTCAGTTGTGTCACACAGAAATTATTTGGAGTTCGCAACCGTTCTTTGATAAATTTCATGTCGGTACCAATAAGCCCTCAGTTAAACCAAGTCAAATTTACGTCCCACACAAATTATAAAGGCAATTTAAAGTCTCATAACTTTGGTGATTCACCGCAATTCTTCCCAACATGCTTCATTTTTTCTCTCTCTGTCAAATTCGCATTATCAAACCCAATTTTTCGGAGGAAGTGTCCAGTATTGCTAAAATATCTAAGCGGCCGGCTAATTAGAAAAGCTGCCAGCTATGTTTATGGTGAGAAGAAGCGTTACGACAAAATTGCCGCTGATTCAAACTATAAAAAAAAAATTTTACTTAGTTTAAAGCTAGGAGAATTCTGCAAATAAACCGCAAAATTTTTACTTCCACGATTCAAAATTTCTGCAATACTTTCAAAGAGATATTTCAAAAAACCTCATTTTCAAGTCTCAATATGTTTCATCTTTTCCCTCTATCAAATTAGCGTTATCAAACCCAGTTTCATGTTTCGGAGGATGTGACCAGTATGGCTAAAATCCCAAGTGAAGTCCCAAGGCACTGTAACTAGAAGGACTGAACGCATTAGTAGAAAGAGCAGTAAAACAATACAAGAGATTTTATAGGGAAATTTCGAGAAAAAAATACAAAAATGCATAATTTGACAATTTATAGAGGATGAGGTTTGTTAATTTTATTTTAAAAATTTATAACAAAGAAAGTGAAAAGGAATGTTTCGGTCCATGAAGCTAAAATGCTATTTTTAATAAGAATTTAATCTTTAAAATTGATTTCCGATAAGGCTAGCAATAAACTTACACTAAGCTGAGTGAAAGTAGGTGTTCCACCAACATCTATTGCTGGCTTAGCATTGAAATATGTCTGATCCACGATACGCTGATTCAAAAAGGCCCTTTCCGCTTCCAGACGCGTTCGTTTCTCTGTTTCTGCTGCCAGTTCATTGAGCATCTGCTGGCAATCCGTTGATGGCAATACCACCTCTGCTTCTGTTTCAGTTTGTACACCGGTATCCTCAATCTGAGGCACTGCGCTCAGCGAAAAACCTTTCCCGCTCAAGAGTACGCCTGCCTGCAAGAAATCACACTTGGCTTCAATAAATTACCATTATTTCTGCATATTTAGGTAAGCGCATGAGATATATCCTAAATTTCAATGTTTAATTCTGAATTTTCAAAATTTCTCAAACTTTTCAAAATTTTGAATTTGACATTATTTAAAAGGATTTTATCTGGCGAAAAATTGCACTTGAGCTCCAATGCACAAAAGAAAGAGATTCAAAAATACAAAAGGATAAACAAGGAGCTCAGGAACATGTCAGCTGCATCAGTGGCGAGAAGAAATGGAACGGTGGAAAAATAGTTGATCAAAGTATTTTTTTTAGCTTTTTACTTGTTCCCTTATTCTTATTCAGCTCAAAATTATGCAAAAATCTCATAATATATGCAAAAAGTCGCATGGATTTCTAAAGCTCGCGTTGTAACATATTATAAAGGTTGTATGAAAAAAAAAATGAATTATAAAAACTGGAATGAAATATTCTGTTTCATTTCGGTTTACGAAACTACAGAATTCCAGCAAAAATACTTCCGAAAGCTTACTTCGGCTTCAAGAAATCGTTCATCCACTGGTGCTTTTTTCCGCCACAGTGCTTCACTGCATCGGAAAACATCATTGAGAGCCAAATCAACACGAGTTTTATAAAGCTGAAAAAAAAACCGCCATAAATTCAATAAATTGATTTTCATATCCCTTCTTATGCAATACAACTTCGAAAACACGTTTCTGTTGGGGGAGAGGGGGGG